GTTCATACAGCACTTGGACCTGTAGATATTCTGGTCTTCTTGGCCAAATAACTGTCCTAGACCTGTAGATATTCTGTTTAGTTTTTTTTTGGCCTGGACCTGTAGATATTCTGGTTCTGTAGATATTCTAGTCTTCTTAGCCAAAGTAACTGGCCTGTACCTGTAGATATTCTGAACTTCTTGGCCAAAAACTGTCCTGGACCTGCAGATATGCTTTTTTTTGGCCAAAATTACTGGCCTGGACCTGTAGATATTCTGGTCTTCTTGGCTAAATTAACTGGCCTGGACCTGTAGATATTCTGGACCTATAGATATTCTGGTCTTCTTGGCTAAATTAACTGGCCTGGACCTGTAGATATTCGTGGCCTGGACCTGTAGATATTCTGGTCCTGTAGATATTCTGGTCTTCTTGACCAAATTAACTGGCCTGGACCTGTACATGAGTTAGGCCAAGCAGAAGCAACCAAACACCCGTGTACTATGACATCACAACCACAAGTAACTGGCAGTCTTTTGTATTATGTTCAGCGTTGGAGCCTCAAACCAGGAAATGTGTATTTTGGTCTTCTTGGCCAAAATAACAGTCTTGGACCTGTAGATATTCTGAACTTTTTGGCCAAATAACTGCTTTATAAAAAATAACTCCTCAGTTAGCAACAGCAATGCTAGCACAGGAGCTAGCTGCATATTAGCCACAACGTGGCTAGCATTAATGCATTGGTTTTCTTTGAATATCTGACGCCTGAGCTTATTTTCTCCACACTTTCCTCATTTCATCACAGGATAATCTCAACTGTTGGTTAGACTACAGCACAACTCTGCAAACTGTGTTGCTGTAAGTCAACTCTTCTCTTTACGGTAGTGCTTAACCTCATCTGTGTTCAGGGGATAGTGTTCTTTGGTCACTGCACTCCTCGTGCTCCGCCAGGTTGTTTGCTCTGGCCAGAACATTCTTGCTTGTTGACAATGTACCAAACTGATGTCGACACACCTAATGTCTTGGCTGTATCTGTGGTTGATTTACTGGACTTTAACTGGACTGACATTTCTTTGGTGCTTATGTTGACAGACAGATGCAGACTGACTCCAAACGCCACACCTTTTATCGCCTCTGTCCACTTTTTCTGAACAGGAACTAAGGACCCAACGACGTACTATTGGCCAATAAACAACTGAGCCGCCAACTGGACAGTCAGGCTGAAAGATGGATTATATTTATATTGAAATTTTCCGTCACACTTTGTTTGGATGGTCCTCTATAGATGCTCTACAGATACGTAAACCACTAAAAACCTTCTGATGATGTTTAGTTGAATATCAACAACATTAGGGTTAGGAGTAGATGTAGGTTTAGCCTTGAGGTTAAGATTGGGGTTAGGTTTAGGGATAGATTTAATGAACTCTTTCATACTGAACTTTAATTTCTGTTGCATTTAATGGATATTTAGTTGAATGTTACTTATAGACAGACTGAGCATTTACAAAGCATCTACAGTGGATCCTCCAAATAAAGTGTTACCAAATTTTCAAATCAAAAGAGCTGCAATCCTAATTATAGCTTGTGAATAACATTGTCATAAAGGGCTCATATCATGGAAAAACAAATTTTCTTCCCTTTCTTGAAATAAAAAAGTTTATTGTAGTATGTAAACATTGCTAATGTTTCAAAATGTACCGTTCACACACCAGTCCATACTGTCCATTTATGATAACTAAGTTGCAACATCCTGTTTTGAATTCACTGTTTTTTGTGATGCCACAAAAAACAACACATTTACACCATCCTCCTATACAGCCTAGAGCAGTTCAGCTCCGCCATTTCATGCTGAAGTTATAAGGAGTGTTTTGGGCTGGACTGCTTTTTGAACGAGCCCTAATACAGGGCAGCCAATCAGAACAGAGCTATATGAACATATTTTAGCTTTAAAAGCACAGTAACAAAACAGCCTGTTCAATTTTAAGAGATAAAATGAATTGTGAATTGTGTGTTTTTGGTACATAGAACCACAAAAATATTGTATGTGAAAATCAGAGGGAAAAAAAATATTTCAAGTCAAATGTAGGATATGGCCCTTTAAGTTTTAAGTGGGTAAATAAGACCTACTACTACAGAGCTTGTGAACTGTCTGTAGACGAGTTAGGCCAAGCAGAAGCAACCAAACACTCATGTACTGTGACATCACAACCACAACTAACTGGCAGTTTTTTTTACGATGTTCAGCATTCAAGCCTCAAGCCAGGAAAAGTGTGCATTCTGGTCTTCTTGGCTAAAATACCTGGCTTGGACCTGTACATGAGTTATGCCAAGCAGAAGCAACCAAACAACCGTGTACCATGACATCACAACCACAACTAACTGGCAGTATTCTGGTCTTCTTGGTTATTTTGGCCAAGAAGACCAGAATGCGCACTTTTCCTGGTTTGAGGCTCCAACGCTAAACATAGTGCAAAAGACTGCCAGTTAGTTGTGGTTGTGATGTCATAGTTCATGGGTGTTTGGTTGCTTCTGGTTGGCATAACTCAAGTACAGGTCCAGGCCAGTTATTTGGTCAAGAAATCCAGAATATACAGGTCCAGGCTAGTTATTTGGCCAAAAAGTCCAGAATGTCTACAGGTCCAGGCCAGTTATTTTGGCCCAGAAGACCAGAATATCTACAGGTCCAGGCCAGTTATTTTGGCCCAGAAGACCAGAGGTTCTTTAAATCTTAAAAAGGTTCTTCACACTCACCCATCTCGTTAACAAAGGCATGTATTGAATGGTTCTTCAGTGAGCCAAAAGTGGCTCCTCAATGGCATCACACAAAGCACCCTTTTTGGTACCTGAATTTTTAAAGGGCCCATATCATGGAAAAACAAATATTGGCCAAACACCCTGATTATTCCTTTAGGGCCAATATCAGACACCCTGATTACACCTTTAAAGGGCCAATATCAGACACCCTGATTATTCCTTTAGGGCCAATATCAGACACCCTGTTTAAACCTTTAAAGGGCCAATATCAGACACCATGATTATTCCTTTAAAGGGCCAATATCAGACACCCTGATTGATTATACCTTTAAAGGGCCAATATCAGACACCCTGATTATTCCTTTAAAGGGCCAATATCAGACACCCTGATGGATTACACCTTTAAAGGAAATGAGCTCTGTTCTGATTGGCTGCCCTGTACTGAGCCTCATTCAAAAAGCGAAACAGACTGAAACACTCCTTATGGCTTCAGCCAGTGTGAGTGGGTGGGGTTAAACTGCTGTAGGCTGAGCGAAGGGATATATGTAAATGTGCTGGTTTTCGTGACATCACAAAAACAATGAATTCACAATAAGATGTTCATACCGCTTAGCTTCCATATATGAGCGTAAAGGGTATGTTTTAAACTTTAGCAGTGTTTATATACTACACCCTTAAAAAAGATGGTTCTTCAACGGTTCTTTAGTAAAGACAACAGTTCTATGTAGAACCATGAACACTCAAAGAACCCTTTGCATGATTTAAAGGTTCTTCGCATCATGAAAGCGTTCTTCAGATTGATGGAGAATGTGCTGTTCATGGTTACATGTACATGCTTTCTATATAGAACCTTTTTGAAAAGGGTTCTACATAGCACCCAAAAGGGTTCTTCCACTGTTACAAGCTTGACATCATAATAATAGAGTGCTATGTAGAACCCTTTCATAGCATAGCACATTCTTAAGAACACTTTCATGATGCAAAGAACTGAGTGTTCATGGTTCTATACAGAACCGTTGTCTTTACTAAAGCACCCTTGAAGAACACAGGGAAGTGCTGTGATCAGAAAACGAAGGCTTGCCGAGTCGATTCTAGGCATTCAGTCTTGAAATGTACTTGATCTGACTTTACAACAGCGTTTATGCTGTTTTTCCACCACACGGGAAGTGAGACTAAAGTAAAGCCTGATTGTGCAAATCACTGTCATCTGGTGTTCATTGCTTCTCAAAGGGGAATTACACAGATTTTTCAAAATTTCTGCAAATTTCTGCAATTTGCAATTCAAGTTTTTTGGATGTAAATAAACTCATTCAGAGTGGTTTGATGTTCAGAGAAACTTACAGGGTCAGAATTGTTGACGTCTGAAGAGCTAACGGCTCTAAAATTTCCCTCAGAAAAAGTTACTATATGAAATTATAAGATATAAGATATGAATCCGCTGCCTGATATCTGAGACATTGTTTTATGATAGTTTGGCACCTTCGTTTTTCATGTACTTAGTATTTTGAATTATTTGAATACATAAATGGTTCTTTGCATGGCTAGATGGTTCTATAATGAGAATCCTGTCGTATGTGGTTCTTCTACATAGCATCAAAGAGGGTTCTGCTATTGTTATAAGGCAACAAACCTTTTTTTTTGGTACTGTACACTCTTAAAAAAGATGGTTCTTCAAGGGTTCTTTAGTAAAGGAAATGGTTCTATATACAACCATGAACACTCAAAGAACCCTTTGCATCATTAAAGGGTTCTTTGTATCATGAAAGGGTTCTTCGGATTGATGGAAAATGTGCATGAATGTGCTATAGATGGTTCTATATAGCTGAGACATTGTTTTATGATAGTTCTGACAAGCCTGTGGCCTGAAATCGACAGAGGGGTATGAACCATTTCACACCAAACCACACTGAATCACTCTGATTACATCTCAGACACTGAATTATGCAGAAATTATGAAAAATCAGAGGAATTCCCCTTTAAATTAGAGCCACAAAGTGACCAGTTCTGCAAGAACCAATGCCAAGTTCTCATGCAGAACATTACAGTGGGTCGATTCGGGTTGTGTTCCACTCCATACGGCCTTTCAAGTGGTTAAAAAGGCCAGAAATAAAGTGGATTATCTGTAATTGTCAGTCCAATTTAGACACTGCCATCAGGACTCCTCTGCACTCCTGCAACTGCAGCCACATTCAGAAATATGGAGGGTTCCTGCACGGAGGCACAACCGAGGATTACGTCTGCATCATCAGCTGATCTCAAAGCAGCTTACCTATTGGCCTGCTGTTGTCCAGCTTGGGCAAACGTGTGGCCTTTTCACGCGAGGAGAGCTTCACGTGTTGGGCCGCGGAGTAGAGCGAGACGCGGCGGGACACCGGCCTGTCCCGCTGCTCGTCCCCGAGCACCTGCACCAGGAGGTCCAGCAGCGTCCGCCTCTCCTTCTGCTTCCCTTCGTTGCTGTCCATGCACTGGCTGGAGGTGATGAGCAGAACCATTATACTCAACAGTATGTGCCATCTCTTCTCAGCCTGCATGGCTTCCTTTCAGCCTGAAAAACAAACAAACACACCAGTCAAGACACATTTCATAATAAAAAACCCTTTATAATCTGCCATTACGGAGCACGTTTAGAGAACGTCACTGCTCCTAGACACAGGAAACGTTCCAGACGTGCAGTGACCCAAATCCATCACATAATTTAAAGCCATCACATACATTAACGACTACGATACATAAACGTCTAAAGACATCACTATAACTGTCACAGTCTTATCTCACATCAACGTATCATCACTTCCAGTTTACATTAATTAAACGTTTCAAAATCACTTTCAACTGATGACGTTAAGAACATGTTTCAGCGGAACTTTAAACTCCTAATATCACCGTTTCATAACATTAACTAAACGTTTTGTCTTCACTTTCAGCTCATAACATCACAAAAATGCTTTATTATTTATTTCAGCTTCCTGTCGTTCTTTTTAAAAAGTGCCACAAATTGTCAAATGATGTAGAAGAACACTGCAAACAATGACCTCTTAGCAAGTGAAATAATCTTAAATCTAGTCAATATATCTAGTATTTCTCGTTATGAGACTATCGAAAGAATATTCTACGATTATTACTCTTCTTTCTAGAGGTTTTGACTTGTTTTAATCCTCTACTGCACGATGTTGCCATAAGGCAACAAGTACTTTATCTCAATTTTACTAAAAAAGCAGTCATATAAAATCTGTGTTCTCCTATTTAATTGTGAAAAAGGGTCTTTTACTTTGAAAGGACAAATAATTTATGACCAGCATGACCAGCAATTCTTAGTATGATGTTGTTATTACCATATATTCCAAATACCAATTGAAAATGTATTAATTTGCAATATTTGTGAATATTGGGTCGTACATTTTTACTATGTTGGATTTGTTTGGTCTTGTTTTTTAATAAAAAGATGTTTTTAGAGAAAAATTAGATTTTATGGTGGTTTTTTTAGATTTTATGGTGCTTTTTTTAGATTTTATGGTGCTTTTTTTAGACTGTATGGTGCTTTTTTTAGATTGTATGGTGCTATGTTATGATTGCGCATTGTTGCCATATGGCAACACTTTACCAAATACCCCACTTTAAAAAAAATAAATGTATTCTTTTCAAATATTTCCATTATTTAAGCAATTTTAAATAACAAAAACATGTTAAAACATTTTTGTCATGTTTAAGTAATAATCCATGCAATAGAGGGTTAAGTAATTTTAGCTAATTAAAATGTTTTATTCTGTTGGCAGCTTATTTTACTCATTTCAAACATTATTTCTTGATGCAAAATTATTGGCATAATTTCTCAAAACATGTAAAATGATCTGCTAATGGAAAAAGACACTTTAATTAGACAAAATTACTTAAAACAAGCAAAAAAGTCTAGAAATAAGTTAAATAATGTCGTTATAAATGAGAAATATTAGATATGTTTACTGGATTTAAGATGATTTTACTTTCTGAGAAACTATTTTTTGCAGTGAACCTTGAAGAACCATGTTTTAAAAGAGGTTTGTAAGTGTGAAGAACCTTCATATGATGTAAAGGTTCTATACCACTTTCCTCCTAACCTTTGCACTATGTAGAGGTTCTTTACATTTTAAAAAAGCTCTTCACACTGACACAAGAACCAATCACTGAAACGTTCTTTAGGGAAGTGGTTCTTCTATGGCATTGCAGAAAGAACCTTTCTGGCACTGCTAATTTTAATATTATGTGGAGGTTCTTCACACTCACACGTTTCGTTTACAAAAACTGTTCTCCACGTAATGTTCAGGTGCATCCACTCAAAGGTTCTTTAGGGAACCAAAGGTGGCATTTTGAAAAGAACCTTTTGGGCACATTTATTTTTAAGATTATGCTGAGGTTCTTTAAACTGTATGAAAAGGTTCTTTTCATACTTCTTCTCTTTTACAAAAATGGTTCCCTAAAAAAACATTGAAAAGTTCTTTAGAAAAGAACCTTTTTGGCACATTTGTTTTTAACTTAAAGAACCGTTCTCTTCTCTATACAGAAGAACCCTCTTGGCACCTTCATCTTTAACACTATGTGGAGGTTCTTTAAACTTTAAAAAGGTTCTTTTCATAGTCCCTCCTATAACATATTCACTGAAAGGTTCTTTAGGGAAGCGGTTCTCATGTAGTGAACAGCATCTTTCACCTTTATCTTTAAAGTTATGTGGAGGTTCCTTAAAAAAGTTTTTTTATAGAACTTCGCGTTTGTAAAAAATGTTCTCTAAAGAACCGTTCTCTTCTCTATACAGAAGAACCGTTCTGGCACCTTTGTCTCTCACATTATGTGGAGGTTCCACAAACTTTAAAAAGGTTCTTTTCATACTCCTGCTCATTTACAAAAACGGTTCTCTATTAACTTCAGTTGAAAAGTTTTTTCAGAAAAGAACCTTTTAGCACATTTGGCACATACAGAAGAACCCCCTTGGCACCTTCGTCTTTAACGTTATGTGGAGGTTCTTTAAACTTTAAAAAGGTTCTCTTTATAGTCTTTTTTTGCTTGCAACACTGTTTCCTAAAGAACCACTCTCTTCTCTTTTCAGCACCTTCATCTCTCACATTATATGGAGGTTCTTTAAACTCTAAAAAGGTTCTTTTCATACTCCTGCTCTTTTACAAAAATGGTTCTCTAAAAAAATCAGCTGAAACGTTCTTTAGAAAAGAACCTTTTTGGCACATTTATTTTTAACATAAAGGACAGTTCTCTTCTCTATACAGAAGAACCCCTTTGGCATCTTCATCTTATCAATATGTGGAGGTTCTTTAAACTTTAAAAAGGTTCTCTTCATAGTCCTTCTCATTTGCAAAAATGGTTCTCTAAAGAACCATTCTCTTCTCTATACAGAAGAACCCTTCTGGCACCATTGTCTCTCACATTATGTGGAGGTTCCACAAACTTTAAAAAGGTTCTTTTCATACTCCCGCTCATTTACAAAAACGGTTCTCACAACTGAAATGTTCTTTACAAAAGAACCTTTTTGGCACATTTATTTTTAACATAAAGAACGGTTCTCTTCTCTATACAGAAGAACCCCTTTGGCACCTTCATCTTTAACAATATGTGGAGGTTCTTTAAACTTTAAAAAGGTTCTCTTCGTAGTCCTTCCCATTTGCAAAAATGGTTCTCTAAAGAACCATTCTCTTCTCTAGACAGAAACACGCTGCACCCTTCATGTGGAGGTTCCATAAACTTTACAAAGGTTCTTCACACGTTTACAAAAAAGGCTTGTCGGAAGAAAAGTCCACTGAAAGGTTCTTTAGGGAACCAAAAGTGGTGGAAAAGAACCCCTCTGGCTTTTACTGACCCTCTCAGCACAGAAGCTGCTCGGATTCCCTCTCGGCACTTTCAGCCTCGCTGTCTGGTTCTGCGCTGTAAGAAAGAGGGAGAACTCACAGTGTGGCGCGCCGGTGGGTTCTGAGGTTCTGCCTTCTGGGCGCGAGGAGGTCAGAGGGAAGTCCTGGAGCGCTTGAGGAGCGGATGAGAGGAACAGACGCGGCTGCCTCGTGTCTTTCTTGAGAACATGCGTCCCGTTTTATACGCCGAGCGCGAAGCTTCTTGAATGTAACACAATCGATTTCGGGTGGGTGGCAGACAGTGGAGACATCTTTCTCTCACACTTCCCTTTTTTTCTCAGCTCGCGCTCGGTCTCGCTGACGTTCGCCCCTCCTTTCGCTTCAAGACCATCACAGAAGGAGAAGAGGAAGAGGGTGAAGAAGTTCAGGGGACCGTGAAACTCATTCGGCTCTCAGCTTCTGCAGAAGGAGCGTCGCTGGCGTCCCGTCTGGAGCGTGGGAACCCCTGGAGAAATCTCGCGCGCCATGCCGCCCGCACCAGCTTCCAACCAAATAGCGCGCGCGTGAAGCGCTCGAGCCTCTCACCCTCTACTGTGGAGGCTTGTGCTCCTGGACGCACGGGTCTTGTGACTGCCCTAAGCACGGCAGGGAATGCGCGCGCTGTCCTGGGCTCCTTCCCACCTCCCCCAGCCTGTTTGCGCGAGCTCCTGTGGATATGAGGCGTGCTCGCGACCTACTAAAGCGGACACATGTGTAATCTGTTTGACAGGACAGCTTGTATTACCAACACTGCAAAACATAATCATAGGGGGCAAACACTTTTTCACACCACTGTATATATACGTATATATACATATATATACATTTTTTATATATATATATATATATATATATATATATATATATACAGTGGTGTGAAAAAGTGTTTGCCCCCTTCCTGATTTCTTATTCATGTTTGTCACACTTAAATGTTTCAGATCACCAAACAAATTTAAATATTAGACAAAGGTAACACAAGTAAACACAAAATGCAGTTTATAAATGAAGGTCTTTATTATTAAGGGAAAAAGAAATCCAAACCTACAGGGCCCTGTGTGAAAAAGTGATTGCCCCCTAAACCTAATAACTGGTTGGGCCACCCTTAGCAGCAACAACTGCAATCAAGCATTTGCAATAACTGGCAACGAGTCTTTTACATCGCTGTGGAGGAAATTTGGTACACATAACCTCAATTCCGAAAAAGTTGGGATGCTGTGTAAAATGTACATAAATGTAAATAAAAACAGAATGCAATGATCTGCAAATCTCATAGACCCATATTTTATTCACAATAGAACACATCAGATGTTAAATGTGAGACAGTTTTACCACTTCATGAAAAACATGAACTCATTTAGAACTTGATGGCAGCAACACGTTTCAAAAAAGTTGGGACAGGGTCGTGGCTACAATTGTGTAGCATCCCCTCTTCTTTTAACGACAGTCTGTGAACGTCTGGGAAGTGAGGAGACCAGTTGCTGGAGTTTTGGGAGAGGAATGTTGTCCCATTCTTGTCTGATGTAGGATTCTAGCTGATTTTTCATTTAACGATGCACCAAATGTTTTCTACTGGTGAAAGGTCTGGACTGCAGGCAGGTCAGTTTAGCACCCGGACGCTTCTTCTGCAAAGCTATGCTGTTGTGATGGATGCAGTTTGTGGTTTAGCATTGTCTTGCTGAAATATATAAGGCCTTCCCTGAAAGAGACGCTGTCTGGATGGGAGCACATGTTGTTCTAAAGCCTCTATATACTGTTCAGTATTGATAGCACCTATCCAGATGTGTAAGCTGCCCACGCCATAGGCACTAATGCAACCCCAACCCATCAGAGATGCAGGCTTTCACTGTAAAAAGTGTCCCGTCAGATCTGCTTAAAAAACACTTCATGTGGTAACAAGTAAATTTATTAGTTTTATTCAATTATTATTTAATTAATTTTTATTTATTATTATTTTTATTATTAATTTATAAATAGAATTCGCTTTGCAAAACGTTATTTTTGTACCTTAGCAAACTCTCATGTTAACTGTTAAATTGCATTTTGCATGTTGTTGTTATTCTCACCATGATGGGGTTTAGTGGTTTATCGGTGTAGTCTGGACCCGTGATTGTTAACAGAACGGCAAACACGATTAAGCTATTATAGTCCTCAGAAATGGCTGATTTCAGTCTTAGCCAAGCCGTTTATTATTTTAAATGGACTGTGAATCAGTCCATTTAAAATAATGGAGCTGTTTTAATTGATGCCAACACATTACATCAAAAAGAGTGTCTGATTCAAGTTAACCTGACTGACTCAAGAACAGAACTTCATAAAGTCAAGACCGCCAGCTTGATGGAAACCATTTAAAATGCCTGAGCTATAAACCTTACTCACTGCAGAAGTGTGGATCACTGAATGATGGTTAAAAAAAGGTTCCTCAAGGGTTCTTTAGCAAAGAGAATGGTTGTATTTATAACAATTTCAATATAGAACCATTTCATGCTTAAATCATTCTCTGCATGCTTAACTGGTTCTTCAGATTGATGGACAATGTGCTGTAGATGGTTCTATAGAAGCTTTTTGAAAAGGGTTCTATATAGCACCAAAAAAGGGTTCTAGGATATCAAGCTGGTAACAATAGAAGAACTCTGTTTGGTGCTATATACACTCTCAGAAATAAAGGTACTGAACTGTCACTGGGGCTGTGCCCCTCTTGTCACTGGGGTGGGACCCTCAAGGCTACTTCTCAGTCCCTTTAGTCAGGGAACATAACTGAACCATAATCCACTGAAATGATATGTTCTAAGCTGTACTGACTCCACACACCCCGTCTCGTCTCCAGGCTTTTATTTTACTGTTCTGTTTTAAAAACATTCGGTTATGAAAAGGTACAAATACGAACTTTTCACCTGGAAAAACTTATTTAAGGTTCAGACCTTAAAACCACTGTTGGAGCTTTGAGGGAACATTTACATTGTTTGTACCTTGAAGAATGAAAAGTGTACCTGCACAGAACCTTTATTTCTACCAGTCTAGAACCATACCACTAAACAATCTTTAAGAGTGTATAAGTCATATATAAAGTTATTTAAGTGTGAACTTTACTTAATTTTTTAAAGCCAATAAGCTTGCGTGATTTTTTTAAGTAAAGCCAACTAATTTAAGTTTACAGAGAAGAAGACTGAGCGCAAGTTATGAGTTTGGCCTTAATTCGCTGTTTATCCTCTTAAAACTGCCAGCCATTAAGACTTAAATGGCCAGCAGGCCCAAAGTTTTATTACACACTTCTATAACATGAGAATAACTCTGAAGATTTGCACTGAAGTGACTGTAGTTACTGAATAATAAAGGATTTTAAGGGGTTAAGATGCAGAATGTCATGCGATTAGGCTCTAAAATCAAACTTGATAGTCTCCTGTCATCCTAATCATAAGAACATGCTCCTCTAGGACTAGAAAGTTTTGGCCACCCAATTAGGACACAATCTAATCAATAAATTCCAGCGCCAAAAGTTTGGAATCACTTGTCACATCAATAACTGATGCTAATTCATTCAGTAATAACTTACACAGAGAAGGCTGAATTATGTATCGTGCAATCGGGCAGTCGTGGGCTGGAGGTTAGGGAACCAGTCTTGTGACCGGAAGGTCACCGTTTCGATCCCCTGAGCCGACAGGACATGACTGAAGTGCCCTTGAGCAAGACACCTAACCCCCAACTGCTCCCAGGGCACTGAGGATAGGGCTGCCCACCTAGTGTGTTTGTATTCATTAGTGTGTATGTGGTGTTTCACTGCACAGATGGGTTAAATGTGGAGGTGAATTTCCCCGTTGTGGGACTAATAAAGGGTAACTTAACTTATGACAGTACTTTACTGTATTTCTAAGTACAGTTGATTACTATATTTCTAGTTTTTTTCCTGCACAGCTCATATATGCTCTAATGTGAGCCCACAGCTGTTTGAGGACCCTCAGTTTAACTACACTATGTAGTGCAACATGTACAAATACACCGATCAGGCATAATATTATGACCACCTCCTTGTTTCAACGCTCATTGTCTATTTTATCAGCTCCACTTACTATATAGGTGCACTTTGTAGTTCTACAGTTACAGACTGTAGTCCATCTGTTTCTCTGATACTTTGTTAGCCCCCTTTTACCCTGTTCTTCAGTGGTCAGGACCCCCATGGACCCTCACAGAGCAGGTACTGTTTGGTGTGGTCATTCTCTGCAGTAATACTGATGTGGTGGTGGTGTGTTAGTGTGTGTTGTGCTGGTCTGAGTGGATCAGACACAGCAGTGCTGCTGGAGTTTTTAAACACTGTGTCCACTCACTGTCCACTCTATTAGACACTCCTACCTTGTCAGTCCACCTTGTTGATGTAAAGTCAGAGATGATAGCTCATCTGCTGCTGCACAGTTTGTGTTGGTCATCCTCTAGTCCTTCATCAGTGGTCACAGGACGCTGCCCACAGGACGCTGTTGGCTGGATGTTTTTGGTTGGTGGACTATTCTCAGTCCAGCAGTGACACTGAGGTGTTTAAAACCTCCAGCAGCACTGCTGTGTCTGATCCACTCAGACCAGCACAACACACACTCACACACCACCACCATGTCAGTGTTACTGCAGTGCTGAGAATGATACACCACCATAACAGTGCACCTATATAGTAAGTGGAGCTGATTAAACGGACAATGAGCGTAGAAACAAGGAGGTGGTCATAATGTTACGCCTGATCGGTTTATATGTAAATAGATGCAGTTCTAAAGGGAGCTCTTGATAGCAACTGCTTGAACATTCCTGCATGGTTAGGAAACAATCATGATACCACAGCGCAGTTCTGTTTATCAACCACAGCATGAACTGAACAGCACAGACTGATCTTCTACCAGCTATTAAGATCACAAAGACAGCGGCATTCAAACATCTACTGCTGATAACATTAATGGACAAATCAGCTCACTGAAACACAAAACACGGTTCGTATAACAAAACATGTCAAATACATTCAAACATGCCTTCGTGGTAAGAATTACATGTTAAACCTCCTGTGAAATGAACTGTGGAAGAAAATATAAAAGCCAATTGGACAAAAGTAAACAAAACTGCAAGGAATGCTGAGAAGCTCCGCCCCCTTATTACAATATTCAGAGACAGGCTGCTCAAGACTGCACCGCATACCAGCCACTCTGCCGACTTGCTTTGCAAATAACAGCTAATTAACATTTTAAATTCTTTGACAAGAAGCTGGACCTGTTTCTCCCAGAATGCATCATTCTTTACAGCATTTACAGAATTTATGGAATACAGCAGATTATGGCAGAATTTATGTGTAAATTTACATCAGTTCTTAAGAAGTTTTATTCAATATTTCAATAATATCGAGAACTTATTATACAATAAATAGTCCAATATACTGTACGTAGCACTATTTGTACATAAACTGGTGTGTATGTTTATGCTGTTGCTGCATTCTGCTGTACACGTACAGG